TCCCTCACTGCATCTACTGTTTTTATGAAATGGATCTTTGATAGAACTAATGGATTCCATTATTATTGCAAGGAATATAATCACATTAAGCTATTTTCTTGCAGCTTCATTGAGAGTGGTTTCTTTCTGCAGGCTAGCAAGTCCCAGTAACATGTTTTTGGTTCGCTTATCAGAAAACTAAAAGTAAAGGTTTGTGGAGATGTTTCCTCAGCTGAAACTACAGCACTTAATCTTGCTTTTGTGAGGTGCTGTTGTAGGTATTTCACATTTATTGTTCGTCAATAATTGTTTATTTGTACATCATATCACCAATTTGCCTCATGAAGACCTTGACACAGAAGAGCACCTCACAGACATAAATAATGGTACAGCATGTTGCCCTCCATCGTAGCCTCTGTGCTCGTCTTCGATTGGCTGAAGTGTCATGTGAATAAATAGGCCAGTCGTAGATGAGACTGCTTAGTGTGCCAAGATACATCCATCTCCTGGTAACTGGATCCTCGTGAGACGTCTTAGTAGTGAGTTCATTGCAGCATACACATGTGAATGTTTAATAATTGGAAAATGTGTACAAACGCACATCTTCCTACTTGTGTTATGCTGTCAAGCTTCAAATATAATCAGCAAATACACTTTGGTAGCAGAAATGCACACGCTTAGTCCTATCATAAGCCTACAGCATGCAGACATGCTCTCTCATTTATCCTTTAGCAGGTCACATAGATGTTGCAACTGTACTGCAAATAATTTAAAACACCTTTGATTAAGAAAAAGAAAATGTTCTTGCAATACTGTCAAAATGTTCTGTCACAATGTGAATGTTGATCTAACAGTGATGTGGTGTCTATTTAAATCACAATGAGAATGTAAAGTATGTCATCCGTGTTTGACAGTGCAGTGTGTTTCATCCATTCGCCTCTTGTTGATACCCAGATGGTGGAAACCTGGATTCCCGGAATACTTGAATTTCTAGAAATCGGAATTGTTCATTTGGATGCACAACTGTCTTCTGGAGTTTAGATGGATGACGAGAGTTTTTTGTTTTTGTTTAGTTGCAGAAGGTTCAGGCAGTCTTGAAATCAACTGTTTGTGTGTGTGTGTGTGTGTGTGTGTGTGTGTGTTTTTTCTTTTTCCAACTACCCTTTTGAGACTTACATAAGAGCCCTTTAATATTTAATGGTAGCATCAAAATCAGAAAGCAATACTTTACTTTTTGTGACCGTGACATTTCAGATGTAGCTAAATTCACTGAGGTGTTTGCAGGATACAGAATGTTTCATTTGTTCTGTTTAAATAAACAGGAGCTTTACATTTGTCCCTCCCCAAAATTAGGCTACTAGGTTGTTAGTGAGCAAAATATTGCTGTTATGCCTCAAACAGGTTTGCCTGAATTATGTTTTACAGTGAATTGGCTTGGAGTTATGAAAGGAGGTATTTAAGTGTGTGTGTTGGAAGGCAGGCTGAAAATGAGGATCGTCACAACTGATGATCGTGATAAACGTAATACTGACGGTTCATAATAAACTGCTTGATTTGAAATCTTATTTGTGCCTTGACATTGCATCAATTTCGTGTCTATCATTTTGTAAACTTAACTGCTTATTTAATAAGTTGTTGTGTAAAAATTTATTTTGACCGTCTGATCAAACAATAAAAAAAAAAACATGCTTGTGATTCATTCAACACACTGCAACTGGAAGGTCAAGTCAAATGCATCTGACCTTCCCATTGCAGTGCCTCCCACAATTTGTAATGTTAATATGCTATCCAGACATGCCTACAGGTTTTATCTCACATTTTAAATTGTTTTAATTTCTAAACAGCCCTTGTTTGTAGAGCTGCTTCCTTATGTCACCGATTAAGTTTAATGTTTTTAAGTCTAAGTCCCCGTTAGGTCCAGTATTCATAAAGAGCGTGTTAAAGTTTATGGAGGTCAGCATACCTGGAACAACAGCAGTTGTAAAAGCGAATCCACCAATCCGAATTGAACACACAGGTTGTATTACATGTTTCCTAATAGCTCGGGATTAAAATGAATTTACTCACTTGTAAGAACTTTTCTCTTTTAGTCCTTATAGTCTACTTTTATTTACATTCAAAAGGTACACAAACTGTAAACAGAATCCTGTTATGAAAATGCCTCTCAGCTGTCTTTCCCTGTCTCTCTCTTAATCCTGTCGTATTTAATTTGAGGTAAAGTAGATTTAAGCCACTCTCGTTAGAGAAAATCACGGATTTAACAGTTACAGTCACGCTGAATCGCTCAGAGACGGCAAGCAGAAAAACTGCATGACCAACAAAGAAGGGTAAGTCTGGTATCTTATCTGATAAATGTGGAAAGTAATTTGCGTTTTTGAGCTGTCTGCGTTCAAGTGTAAAGTTTGTTTTGGATGCTGAGTTGTCAAAGACAAGAACTGCATACAAAACGCTCACAATACCTTTTTTTAACGAAGTCATTGAGGTTGTTACGACTTTACCTGCTGTTGTTTTTATACGGTCTCGTGTTTTAATAGGAGTTAATGTTCGCAATCAGTAAGATGTGACTGATGTGAGAGGCTCGGTAAGCCTCTGTAAGCCGCTTGATACCGCTGAAGCCCGGCGGATCAAACCGAGTGCCGCTGCTGTATAATGAGGCGTCATGACTGATGATTGACGCATTTTCACTTTGACCGAGTGTAAATGCTCGACTCTGCTAGTATGCATTTAAAGGGATAGTTCACCCAAAAATGAAAATTCTGTCATTAATTACTCACCCTCGGGTTGTTCCAAACCCGTAAGACCTTCGTTCATCTTCGGAACACAAATTAAGATATTTTTGATGAAATCTGAGGGCTCTCTGACCCTCCCATAGACAGCAAGGTAACTACCACGTTCAAGGTCCAGAAAAGTACCAAGATGATCAACAAAGTAGTCCGTGTGACATCAGTGGTTCAACTGTAAAGTTACGAAGCTACGAGAATACTTTTTTGGGTGAACTAACCCTTTAATGACAGTCCTTGGCAAGCACTATGTAAATCATCCATACTTTGGGACGCTGCTCGTGAGTTTCTGCCGGTTGCAGAAGGTGTAGAAAGCATTTGATCCACTGACACACAAAAGAGTCATCTATATTGTTGGTTAACATTTAGGAGTAGATTAGGCCTATGTTTAAAAATATTTAGTTTAGAACTACCAAGGTTCTGTGTTATCTTAAAGGTATAGTGCACCCAAAAATTATACTTGTCATTGTTTCCTCACCCTCCTGTTGTTCCAAACCTGAATGAGTTTCTTCTGTTGAACACTATCACAACCCTGCTAAAAGTGCCAGTACGTGCGCTCATTGGCGCCCCTTCAGCTGGTGGCGCCCTAGGCGACCGCCTAGCTCGCCTATGCCTAGAAACGGCCCTGCACACACACACAAAAGATATTTTGAAGAATGTGGGTGATGTTTATGGTAGCCATTGACTTCCATAGCATTTTACTATAGAAGTCAATGGCTACCGCCGGTGCTGTTTTGATTTTGCTACCTCCCATTAAAACAGTACCTAGGTAGTATAATTCGACAACAAAAAATGCTACCTGTCAAATTATGGTTTATTAACGTCTACACCTACCCCAACCCTAATCCTATCTTTACAGTAATGTAAATACAGTAATTATGTGTTGTTTAGGGTTGTGGCTAGAAGGGATACAGCTACGGCCAGAAACCAACAATAAATTAAAATTTCTGCCTATTAGATTGTGTTTTATTAATCTCTACATCTACCCCAACCCTAAACCTACCCCTTACAGTAATGCAAATACAGTAATTATTGTTGTTCAGTGTGAGGAAATTGACGTAATATTGATGTGCGCGTGCGCAGTAAGACCTGTTAGGACAATCTGACAGGACAAATAAAATGTCAAGACACCTGGCAACTGTTTGGTTATTCACATTCTTCAAAATATCTTGTGTTCAGCAGAAGAAATAAACTTTATTATTGCCTTCTTTATTCTATTTTAGATCAAATAAATACAGTCTTGGTCAGCATAAGATACATCTTTCAAAAGACATCAAAAAGTTTAAACCCCCTGTATTAGCATATTCCTTCATTCCTCAGTTCACTTTCAGCCTTCACCCATGGCCATGCTCTCCTCTTTCTCTCTGCCAGATGGTGACTGAGATAGTAAAGGCACAGACCGATTCGGTGGTGTCCAGTGTGGAGTCCATGCTGGCGGATGCTGTCCGAATACAAACGCAGTGCAAGGAGCGCAGCGCAGTGCTGGCTGCGGCTGCAGTGGAGCTGCACGAGGAGACCCAGAGCCTGCGGGAAGAGTGTTAGGCCACACAGCTGGACATGGCCCGCCTCCGACGGACACAAGATGAGCTTCTGGACACAAAACACGCCTACGAGGCCCGTGAGAGACAGACCCGAAAACTTAGCAAGCAGCTTTAAAGAAAGAGTAAAATTTTAATGGACATGCAGATTCAAATCGTCAGAAAGCAAAGTATGAGAAAGAGTACAATGTAAAAAAGTTATTTATATAATTTAAGTATATAAATAAAGTTTTACTGAGAGCAAACAATTCAGTCCTCTAATAACTGTACAAGCTTTCCTGCACTATTTAATAGTGAATATTAAAGGAAAAGTTCACCTAAATATTAAAATTTACTCTGAGGCCATCCAAGATGTTTCATACAAATATGCAGCTTTTTGCTTTCCAAGATGTTAATTGATGGACTGGAGTTGTGTGGATTACTTGTAATGTTTTTATCAGCTTTTTTGATTCTTCATTTGACGGCACCCATTCACTGCAAAGGATCCATTGGTCAGCAAGAGATTTCTTGAGATGCTAAATTTCTCCAAATCTATTAATATGTAGAAACAAACTACAAGATCTTGCCTCAAATTGAATGGAAAAGGGTGGCATTAAATTAAATCTTTAAAATTAAATTAAATCTTTAAATTAAAAATGTCAAAGAAGTCATCATGCACCTTTAATATATAGACATTGTGAGACTATAAGCACTTGGTTGACAAATTTAATTGCTTTGAAATGTTCACACAGCCATAAACTCTGACATAGCGGGTTATACAACAGATTTAGTATTCATAAAAAATGTCAGTGCATAATCCATAACCAGCAGTTCTAAAACAATAGTAGTAAGTTAAATGACAATGTACAAAAAGTTGCAGAAAAGAGGAGAAATGATTCGATGATGATGAAGCATTTAGTGGACACTGGACCTGGACACTGTGCTGCCGGGATGGGCGGAAGGACACTGTGTTTCGGAGGACTTTAGTGCTGTGGGCAGCACCACGGATTTGGCACTTCGCCTGTGTAAAGCGGATACCATCACAGGCTAAATTATGGATTTATGTCCCTGTCATCCCAAACACACACACACACACTCCTACCTCCCGTGGCTGTGTGCAGGAAAAAGCCATTTAAAAAATGACATCTCTACTGGGCACAAGATTAATAGCCAAACACTCTCGGAAAGACACTCTCAAGCAGTTTTGCTCATGTTAAGGACGCCAAGGACTATGAGTAGGAGAAATGTGAAATTAGGGGGGAAAAACACTTATGGGAGATTCCTGGCCCAAAAAAATAGGCACAGGAGCACCGTCTAATGGGATTTATGGAGTAATTCATATAAACAGACAGCAGAGGGCGAGAAGTTGTACATTAACAAAGAGCAGGCTTAAGTTAAAAGTTACAGTACAGTGGTTAACTTGGTTTGACTCCAGGTCAGTTAGGTTCAATTTAATGGTTGTTATTCTACAATTCTTTGAACTGACATATGTACTCATGAAATGAGAGTGCCTTTTTTGAAGATTTGAGTATGAACTCCTCAAGTTTATTTTTTGATATCGTTTTGCTGCTTATGAAAACACTGACAATGTTGTCAGATTTGATCTCTTTGCATAAAGCCGTGTCTCAATCAGTTCAGGTCACACCACCAATCTGGCAACCGCACACTATCACCTGCCAGGTCTGTGCTGCCAGCCACAGATCAGTAACCATGGCAACTAACCCTTGGTAAAAATGCGTATACTGGAGCTGCCAAAATCCTCTCGGCTCAGCTAGCCAACTGCTAGCCAGCAGCGTGATTGTCAATGCGAGCGTATGTACGTGTGAGTGAGTGTGTTCAAGCGGCACATAGACTGCTTTAGTGTGGGGCGACATAGATTAGCTGTGTCTCTGTTCACTAAGAACGTCCTGGGCGGTTGAAGAAGGGCTCCGTTTCAGAAGGGGTCGCTGATGGGTCCTCTCCTTCTGACCGGATTTCTGACCCGTTGTTACGCTGGAGCAGGACCAGAACTGCTATGATCAACCAAAAGAAGAAATTCACCCATACTGCTGTCTGAGAGAGAGAAAGAAAAAAAAAGTTTCTTAAAGATGATGCTAGGGAGAAAAAATAATCAATAAATAAATAAATAATTTTAGGACTTTGTAATTAAAGGCATTGCATAAAAATAATAACAAAACAAAATAATTTCATGATATGGAATGATCTTTTTTTTTAATTGCCATGTCTGAAATTTCACTCAGATTTAAAAATAAATAATTTAAAAAAATAAAAAATATTTTGTAATTACAGACATTGCATAATAAAATAATTATAATACTAATTAAAATAAATAATGAAATAAAATATAATCATTTCATGATATAGTATGATCTTGTTTTTTTAATTGCCATGTATCAAATTTCACGTTTTAGATTTCGTTTTGTTTTTTGTACCTCTTATAAATTATATTAGAATGATTTCTGAAGGATCATGTAACACTAAAGTAATGACTGCTAAAAAATCATTACAATAGAAAATTAAATTTTAATACTATGTTACAATATTAAGATTGTTTTTAGCTTTTTGACCAGTAGTGCATAAAATAAAAAATAATGCTATAATATATATAAATATCTTTTTTTTCTAGCTAGTTGCCAATACAACATTTCTTTTGTTTTTTGTACCTCTTATAAATTATATTAGAATGATTTCTGAAGGATCATGTAACACTAAAGTAATGACTGCTAAAAAATCATTACAATAGAAAATTTAATTGTAATACTATGTTACAATATTAAGATTGTTTTTAGCTTTTTGACCAGTAGTGCATAAAATAAAAAAATAATGCTATAATATATATAAACATCTTTTTTTTTCTAGCTAGTTGCCAAAACAACATTTCTCATTTTCAATTAGATTAACTTGATGTACTAAAATAAATAAAACTGAAATAAAATTACATTTAAAAACTATTTAAGATATGTAAAGTATGACATATTTTACAAAAGATAAAGCTAATAAAAACAGCAAATTACTAAAACTTTAACTGAATTTAAAACAAAAATAGAAAATACAAAAAATAAGAACTAATTCAAAATGCTGATCTCAATGTGCTTGTGATCAAGGTTTGTAGCTGCAGTACCTCTGCACTGTGTAGTCTGGAGTAGAACTGACTCCCATTTATAGGGCTCATCCAAGGCTTATTTTGTGCTTCTTCACACCTGCAAATGCACAAAACCTACAAGTCATTTATGGTTGTTATCATGGTCAATACTGTCTGCCTGCAATAATCCAAAGCTATTACAGAGGTCTCTCACTCACACTCACCTGGTTATATTTTTCGCTGTTTGAATCACTGAGTCGCACAGTCTGTCTCGGCCGATTTTCAGGATGCATCCCGTCACCAAGAGGAAGAAGAGGAAGACTCCAGACAAGCCAAGAGTAACATTCATCCATAATTTCTCTCTGATATCAGACAACATTGCACAATGCTTGCATTACATTTTAGAAAAAAATATATTGTTGCTATTATTACATTTTTATCTTAATGTATTTAAACTGAGTTTAAACTGCATTTATTTTTCTGAGTATTCAGAAGTTTTAATGAAAAACACTTCACCTGTTCATATGAACAAGGTTTTACACCCTGAGAGTACAAGGAATGCTGTAACATCTCTTACTGAATTTGAAATTAGTTTTTTCCCCTACATTTAATAATGGTGCATTGAGAGGATTCTTATCATTTTGTTTAGATCATAATGTATTAACAGCTTATTATTAAGATATATACACACTACCATTTAACTGTTTGGGGTCACCAAGAGTTTTTGTAGTTAATATATTTGCTCACCAAGGCTGCATTTATTTGATTAAGCTACAGTAAAAACAGTAATACAGTGAAATATTATTACAATTTTCAATAAGTGTTTTCTATTTTAATATATTTTATATTTTGATTTCCTTCAGAGATCATTCTAATGTGCTGATTTGGTGTTTAAAAAACATTTCTTATTAATACCAAATCTGAAAACAGCTGCTTAATTTTTTTAATTAATCTGAAATATAATTTTTTTTGTAACATTAAGTCATTTCCATCACTTTTGGTCAATTTAATGCATCGCTACTTAAATAGAAGTATACATTTCTTTTAAAAAAAATCTTACTGACCCCAATGTCACATATCTAAATACTAACAACTTATTTTTATGAGTTTGCATCATGTCCGTTTAGATCTCCTCCTGCAGTCCATTTATACTAGAGCATGGCATAACAGGAAACAGAAATGGAGGTACCTTCAGATAACCTCTGTTCTCATTCCTAAACCAAACTCACTAGCACATGAATTTAATGTATTCCTGGACATACCTTTTCACCTCTCCGTCAACACAGGCCATGTAGATCCAGTAGAGAGTGAGTGAAAAGCAGAAGACGGCCACACACACTGAGATGGCTGACACAAAGTAACAAAGGGAAGGAGAACTGGATGAAAGCACAGCGATGGATGAGGAGTTCAGACGCACTGAACCGTACAGCATGCACTTCCCATCAAAACTGCCCTGTTTAAGTGAAAAAAGAAAGATAAAACTCTGTTATAAAAATGCATCTTATGACCAAAGTAAACACTTCTCATGAATAAGGTACAACAAAGAGCTAAAGGGGGGAAAAAAAGAGCTGTTTAAATTTTGTATTCATTTTCTATGGGGTTTGCTTTTTTTTCAGTACACAATTTATTTTTAAAGGGGTCATATGATGCTTTTTTAAAGATCATTATTTTGTGTATTTGGTGTAACAGAATATGTTGACATGCTTTAATGTTCAAAAAACACATTATTTTTCAAATACTGTACATTATTGTAGGTCCTCTATGCCCCGCCTCTCTCGAACGCACGGCTACAGACTGCAGTCAGCGAGAGTAGCCGCTTGCAGTCGGGGGCGGAGTTGAAAACGGAGCCGTCAAGCCGGGCATTTCTGCTCCCGTTAGTGACGCTCTCAAAGCGCTCCATCTGGATATAGAAGAACTCCCGGAAGTTACTGAACCACTTAATCAGCTGGGAAGTGACACAGCGATTGAACTGTGTAGAGAAAAACAGAAACGCCAAGTTAATTCCGGCAGCATTTCAAAAGATGGTATATAATGATTGTAAGTCAGCACATTTTAGTGCAATGTTTTAAAGACACTGTGTGATGTTTAACGTAAAAGACACCAATACAGCTTTAATGTAATACATATAATTTCAATAAAAATTCCATAGATATTCATTTATTACAAATGCAGGAACATTTTCTGACTGTTCTAAATGAGCCAAAGCGTTTCAAAAGGAAGCCATGCCACACTGCTGTATATAGGTCAGTGTAAATTCATTCAATAAGTCATTAGCCCATATAATTTGTGCAGGTTATGCACACACAGCTATACTATTTTGTGTTCAGGATATGAATGATGCTCACTTTGACATCAGGGAAATATGTCTTGAGTGTGCTGGAGCTGGGGTAGCGTGTGTGAAAGAACATGAGTTTGGCTTTCTTCAGGTGGCACGGAGAGAGACCTTCCTGAGAGTGTAGATGGTTAAGGAATGCTTGATACAAACAAACAAATAAATACATGTATACTACCATTCAAATGTTAGGGAACTGCAATATTTTTTTAAAGAATTTTTAAGTAAATGTCTCATGCTCACCATAGCTATTTAATCAAACATACTTGGAAAACTGTAATATTGTGAAACATTATTGCAACTTAAAATAACTGTTTTCTATTTTATGTTGCTGTAATGACATAGCTGGATGTTTAGCAGAAATTACTCCAGTTTTCAGTGTCACATGATCCATCAGAAATCATTCTAGTGCTGATTTGCTACTTAAGAAACATTTCTTATTATTATCAGTGCTGAAAACAGTTGTGCTGCTTAATATTTTAGTGAAAACCGAGAATAGTTTTTCTGCAGGATTCCTTGATGAATACAAAGTTCAAAAGAATGGCATTTATTTGAAATATTGAGCGACATTATAAATGTCTTCACTGTCAATTTAAAACATCCTTGCTGATTAAAACTATTCATTTCTTTAAAAAATTATCTTAGTGACCCCAAACGTTTGCACAGTAGTGTATATATATATAAATGTATACATGTGTATCTATTTTCACAGCTTTTATAAAAGGATATTGACCCAGCAGCAAGATAGAGTGCTGCATCTCCTCCATCCACCACTCCTGCTCCACCTCCTCTCATCCCTCCTTCCCTCGCTCTATCCGACGGAGAGGGGTCTAGCTGGCCCAGCAACGGGAGGGGTGGGAACGTAGAGTTGTGTGAACGGAAGTCCATGAAAGACTCAGACAGGCAGTCCTTATGAAAAGGCAAACTGGAGAGGGAGCGGGTAAAGAGATTCTGCATGGTGTAGTGAAGAAGGGGCAGGGGAACGGGGTTGTCTGGGGGATAGGAGGGCAGGAAGTGCCCTTTGCTCCTAGGGGGTAAAAGAGCCGGGAGAGGAGGCTGGGGTAGCGGAGCGAGGCTGGGATTGGCTTGAGGGAGGAGGAGGTCCTTGTGTACACTCTGAGTAATAGGGGCCCTCTTGTCTTGAGGACTCTTTGTGATAAGTGGCAATGCTTCCACCTGCTCTGCCACATAAATTCTCGGCCTCCGGTCTGGGTTTAGATCCAACGTCATGCTGGTTTCTTGAGGAACGGCGGTGGATGTGACTGCCGAGGGGTCGGTTTCGGCATAGTGGCGGACAACTCTGTCGATAACTTGAGCCACAACATTTGCCAGCTCTTGTTTTAGAGCTTGTGCAAACTTCTGCCCTCCTTCTGCGCTCTCCCAATCACCTCTGACCAGGCTGCATCCCAGCCACACCTGATCGCCATTTAACTCCAAATCCAGGTCCACGGAGGTCTCTGGAAACATCCCGGCATTCCCATTGGTTTCATTGGGTTTCTTAGACGAACAGCGCGGAGGAGAAAATCCACTGCTGATGAGCGGATCATCGCTGTCTGAAAACATCTCCGCAACCTCATCGAGATTGATCGGCCCATTCTCTTGTTCTTTCTCTCCTCCTTTCTCGTCATCCGCCTGCCCTCCGTACGCTTTCCACACCTTGCGTTGGAGTTCCAGAAGTTTCCCTCTGGTTTCCTCCAGCTGGAGCTTTAGTTCTTGCCGCTGTCGCTTCCTACCTTCCCTGCTTTCCCTCCTGTTCGCTTGTTCTGCTGCCTTCCTCTCGTCCATTCTAACCGAAGCTGTACTCTTCCTCCCCCTCTTCCCTTCTCTCCTCGTTTCTTCTTCGCTTCTAGCTGCCGAGTCCATCCTGAGTCTCTTAACTCTTGCAAAATCCTGCCCCCAGTCGCCAGGATCGGGACCCGAACCTTGTCCCCGTTCTCCAGGACAGCGCTGCGATGATCCCATAGCCCCAACAGCAAACTCTCTCTTCCCAAACACATCCTCCTCACTTACATCATCATCTACCAGAAGCCCAGGGAACAAGCCCTGGCGCTGTCGGAAACTACCCCACCTCTGGGATGCGCTGTTGGGGTGCATGAGAGGGGAGAAGAGCGGGTGGGAAGACAGGCTGCCGGGGGAAAATCGGTGGCTTGAGGGGTTGGAATCTGGCAGGCTGCGATACAGTTCGAAGGGACACATCTGGGAAAGCTGCTGATGAAATCGATCCGAAGGGGAATCCATAGCCCCCTTTTCCGTTCTGATCTGGTTTCAGGATCTTTAAAGAGAATAATAAATGCATAATCGTAGACAAAAATATGCAGCTATTTGGACGGGTTTAAAAATTGTTCATAATCCTCTCATTGTTATCAGCATCATCATCGGCTCTTTTTTTCCTCTCTGCATGTGTGCGTTATCTATCCGCTGACAGCTGTACCCTGTGTTTGTTCAGACTGTTGACTCTATTGCTCTCATCCTTCTTTCTCTCTCTCCCTTTCCCTTTCCCACATACATACTCAGCACAACACAAATACATGGATGTGAGACAGTAAATATTTTAATGAGATTACTATAGTCCCAAAAGCTCTAAATTTGCATTTTAACTTATTTCATACCTTGTAGTACTAGAGTTTTGTTTATAGATAGATAGATAGATAGATAGATATGGAATAAAAACTCTTAAAATCCTATTCTATCCTAAAATCAGATTAATAGAACTGCATGTGTGCGTTATCTATCCGCTGACAGCTGTACCCTGTGTTTGTTCAGACTGTTGACTCTATTGCTCTCATCCTTCTTTCTCTCTCTCCCTTTCCCTTTCCCACATACATACTCAGCACAACACAAATACATGGATGTGAGACAGTAAATATTTTAATGAGATTACTATAGTCCCAAAAGCTCTAAATTTGCATTTTAACTTATTTCATACCTTGTAGTACTAGAGTTTTGTTTATAGATAGATAGATATTGAATAAAAACTCTTAAAATCCTATTCTATCCTAAAATCAGATTAATAGAAATTACTCTCCTAAACTGACGTTTATGCCTTTTCCTCATTGCACAAACGCCACAGATGTCATCAGATTACTGCTGGAATATAAAGCCGTTTAACTGCCGTGAAAAAAAAAAATGTAACAGATGGACGGACAACACCCTCACGGATAAATTATAGAAATTGAGTTGCGTTCATTACTGATACACTAACCAACTCTCCGTAAATAATATCGCAGAGTTTACATCAAAGTTTTCTTGTCGTTATGAAGACGGATATCTCGCTCCTGCTTGAATACCGGTGCAGAGCGGACATTTGTAAACTCCGCGCGCTCGTGTCGCAGATTCATTAACAGATAAACAGATGAGGCGCGTTTGACAAGGACAAACAAATACGCACATGTAGCAAAAGGTAAAAAGGAACAGAAAAAGATCTAAAAACTTACAAAACAGTCAGTCAGAAAGCATCCCCCGGTCGGTCGCTGTCCTATCGTGTTATATTTCGGTCTCGTCGAGGTGTCCGCTGGTCACCGGCAGCATCAGCGTTAAAAGCGCCACCGAGTTTCCTGTTATTGCCGTCGCTCCTGTCTCGCGCTGTCCATCTCTCATCCTCGCGCACTCTATCGCGTGGTGATCAGCCAGTAGGCATCGAGGCGTGAGGGAGGGATGTCCGCTGCCCCCGCGCGCACACACACACACACGCACGGTTTACTGTTCCTCTCTCTCCTCTGACTCTCTCACACACTCTCCACGTGGGGCAACTACTTGGTTATGAGCCTGCACCAATCAAAAACGACCTGATTTACTAAAATAATCTGATGTACATATGGTAAGTATACCATGGTGACCTTTTTTCTGACAAAATTATTTGTTAATATTTTTAATTAATGACTGATTTGTAATATAGAATCTCATTCAAGCAATTTAAGAAGCTTTCGGTATCATCTAAATTCATAAATCCAATTGGAATAATGATTGAAATAGATGCTAAGAAGAGAACAGAAAAATTTCCTTAGATCTAGTAAACCTAAGACTGTAGATCTCTCTCTCTCTCTTTTTTGTAGGCCTACATATAGCTCACCACAGAACATTGTTCACATATAAGATAAAATGCCCCTGAATTACGCTAATGCTCAAAAGTTTGGGGTCATAAGATTTTATTTTATTTCTTGAAAGAAATTAATACTTTTATTCTGCAAGGATGCATTACATTGATCAAAAGCGAAAGTAAAGATTTATATAGTCCTATATACATTTTCTATTAATCAAAGAATCCTGAAAAATCAGTCTCCCTAAAAAATTAAGCAAGACAACGGTTTTCAACATTGATAATAATAAGAAGTGTTTCTAGAGCAGCAAATCAGCACTTAGAATGATTTCTGAAGGATCATGTGGCACTGAAGACTGGCGTTATGGCTGCTGAAAATTCAGCTTTGCATCACAAATAAATTACCTTTAAAAATATTAAAATAGGAAACAGTTATTTTGATAATATTACACAATATTAATGTTTCACTGTATTTTTGATCAAACAAATGCAACCTTGTTGCGCATAGGAGACTTCTTTCAAAAACATGAATATATCTTACCAAGCCAAACTTTTGAACTGTAGTGTATATCACAAGAAACGTAAAGAAAATCTTTCACAATTTGAAACCCCTTACAGCTCATTTAAATGTCTAGTAAGACATTATTACAATAAATTACTAATAAAGAACATGCAAAATGCAAAAAGGGTTCCAAAAAATCCTTTATCCCATAGGAACATATTTGCTTCTCTAAGTATTCTTTCTCTGTTTCTACTGGAATGCTTTAGGAGAGGTTCTAAATAATAATAGAACTTAGTTTTTTCTCATTTTCATGACAAATATGACTAATACCACATAAGAGCTATATTATAGTAACACTGACTGTAGTATGTTGGAAACCTATGATTACAATTTTTGTAGAATTGATTGTTTTGAGAGAGGATGGATATTTACTAGTGTGCATAAATAATGGTAGATAATAGGTTGATACATAATATACACAATATTTCAGAACTAAAGGGTCTGTTTTTTTGTTTGACTAAATTAACTTTTTTCGATAAAACATGTGCCCTATGAGACTGTATGCCAAGGCCAGAATGAAAAAGCAGCAACAGAGCTCTTCATAATCAGAGACTCCTCCACCCCTCAATGTGTGAAAGCTGATTATCGGTCCCTCCACTCCTCTTCATAGCACCCCTTCTCTCTCTTTCATTGTTTCCATCACTCCCTCTCTCCCCCACTTCACTGAAATACCCCTCAACCAACCAAACTGTTCACAATAACCACTGGCTCCTGTTGTTATGGAAACAAGAAATGTGTCACAACGCCTTATTAATAAAAGGTGCTTGTGACTATAGAGCCATCTAAGTAAACAAATGTAACCAAAATGAAGTTTTAAAACACAAATATTGGCCAGATACAGTACAGACAGGACACACACCCTGCATACTTTGACGTTAACGCTAAACGGATTTCTGTCTGTTTCATTTCTGACTCAATTTATTTCTCTATAAAAACGGACTAAGTGTTCAACACAGGTGTTAAATTCCTTGCTAAAGTCCATTTGCACTGTAAACATACACACACCTTTTGTAAGGTCAGGCCGAAAGGCTTTTGAACTACATTAGCAACTCACACTGAATCCTTTGAACCGAAGCCAAATGACTGACAGCAAACAATATTAAAATGCATGAGCAATTCTAACAAAGAGCTATGAAATACACCAAAGGGTACACGCAGCCATTTGCGAGCAGTGTTTTAAAAATGCCACACGAATGTCGATCCTTTCAAATGGTGGCAGACATATCAAAATGTCTCATTTGAATGAGTCACGATCAAACATATTGCATTATGAGTCGGTAATATGCGC